ACATACATCATCGATGACCGCCCTGAGGCGGCTGGAGGCGGCAGCCGGCCGCGCGGCGGCCTCCGGTGTCAGGCCACCCCACCATATGGTACCGCTCGCGTCACCCAGCCGCCATATGTGCGGGCGGCATCCATCCGTTTCGCTTTTCTCTAGAAAGAATTTGCGCGAAAGCACTCCAAATGCTCCAAGTGACTCTCTCCTCTCTCTCTCTCTCTCTGACTGGGTCTCTCTCCGTGCCCTGCATAGGCACGTCCCGACCGCTAGTTGCTCCAAGTCTTGATGAGTTTCAAACAAACTATTCTGCTGGAGCTATGCTTTAAACATGAACGAAGTCAAACATTATCTGGAAGTCCAAACTCGTTCCCAGCAAAGGTTGTTTTGGAAGTCGGGTGAGGAGGAACTAACTGGCGGTGGATGAATGTATGGTATTTCTTGAGGGGGGGGGGAGGGAGGGCTTAAGGAGCGCAGGGGACAGCGCAGCGCTGCGGCTGGTGTCTCTCTCTCTCTCTCGTGTCCGTTTTATTTATTTATTTATTTCTCTCTACTCTCTCTCTCGCTCTCACTCTCTCTCTCTCTCTCTCTCTCTCTCTCTCTCTCTCTCTCTCGTGTCCGTTTTATTTATTTATTTATTTCTCTCTACTCTCTCTCTCTCGCTCTCACTCTCTCTCTCTCTCTCTCTCTCTCTCTCTCGTGTCCGTTTTATTTATTTATTTCTCTCTACTCTCTCTCTCTCTCGCTCTCACTCTCTCTCTCTCTCTCTCTCTCTCTCGTGTCCGTTTTATTTATTTATTTATTTCTCCCTACTCTCTCGTGTCCGTTTTATTTATTTATTTATTTCTCTCTACTCTCATATGGGCCTCTCCCTCCCTAAACTAAAAAAACGGAGTCCACCTCACTACCTAACTACCACCACCTCACTACCCGTAACCGTTTCAAAAAAAATAAGTGACAGTGGGCTCGAACCACTGTAAGTTTGCCGCCGTCCACTGGTTCGAGCCCACTGTCAATGATTTTTTTTGAAACGACCACTGGAAGTGAGCTCGTGGGATGTAGGAGGGGAGGAGCACCCTGCTTCTATAGAAGGAGGGAGGGAGAGGCCCCTGTCAGAGTAGACTACAAATACATAAATAAACCAAACGGACACGGGAGAGCGTCC